GGACTTTGAGATTTGTAACTTTCTAGATCTTTTTTATGCCCAAACATACACACTACACACTGACTAAAATTAAAAAAGTGAAAAAGCATAATAGGACCCCTTTAAAATATGATCATTTTACTTAAATTGCATTGGATTTCACTTGTTTTCAAACATAATCATGAAAAATAATTTATGAAATGTATATAAAATTAACTTAAATAATATAAAATATTATTATATTAATTATATATTATAATAATATAAAATAATATAATAAAAAATGCAGTTACTTGTATATAAATTAGCTAACACTCAAAATTTTAGGGTCGGTAAGTTTATTTTATTTATTTTTTTGTCACTTAATAATTATTAATTTTATTCAGAAAGGATGTATTAAATTGATAAAAACTTACCGTAAAGACATTTAAAATGTTTAAAAAATATATTTACAATAAATGCTGTTCTTTTGGACTTTCTATTGATCAAAGAATCTTGAAAAAATGTATCATGGTCTCATAAAAATATTAAGCAGCATAGCTGGTTTCAACATCGATAATAATAATAAATGTGTCTTGAGCAGCAAATCACCATATTATAATGATTTCATGTGACACTGGACTGGATTATTGATGCTGAAAATTCAGATTTGCCTCACAGGAATAATTTACATTTTAAAATATATTAAAATAGAAAACTGTTATTTTCAATTGAAAATAATATTTCTTAATATTACTGTTTTTTAACTGTATTTTTGATCATACCTAAGGCTTTGATGAATATAAAAGACTTCTTTTAAAAACATTAGAAAATCTTACCAGCCCAAAACTTTTCAATGATAGTGTGTCTTATACAATATTTTATGCATCTTATACATGAATTTGAAATATATTTGAATTATACTTAAACATAAATATTTGCAGTGTTTTAGCCGATTGTTGATTTACATGTTTTGAGCAATGCACAGTTAGCACATTCTGAACTAAAGCTGTTTTTCAGGTTCATTTTTACAGCCACATTTATTTGTTCATTCCTTCCCTGCGACCCTGGACTCCAGGAGGCTTTTGTGTTGACTTCCCCTCTGCAGTCAATTTCCCACAATCCCAATATGCGGTTGAGGGGTAAAGAAAGGCAAGCTGTTAATTGATTGGCAGCAGTTTGCATATACAGTACTGGAAAAATGTCACGTCAAGCTGTTTGTGTGACCTAACTGGCTCTCGGTTAGAGTGACTGAAGAGGGTAATTTATCATTTGACAGTCTTTAGAATGGGCTGTCCGAGCTGTCTCGCTATTGTTAACATCAGCGGTCAGCTGTCACGCATGTTGGATTAGCAAGCATAGATGAGCGACTCAGCAGGATGGACACAAGCAAGGCCACACAAGGAAATGTCAGGGGAAGACAACCATTGCATGACGATCAGAGCCAATGATTAATAATCTGTGCAGAGAATGTTCAAGAAGGGGCGTAAATTGTTATAGGTTGGAAAATGATGTTGATTGAAGTTTGAATCGTTTTTTAATGTACCACTGGCTTTTGAAAAATGAGCAAAGCAAACAAACATTGAACATTTGTTTTTTGTGGCATGTTTTTGTTGTGTCGTAAACTAGAGCTGGATTGAACGTTGATTTCTCAATTTTAATTGATTCTCAGCCTATG